AGTCCATCTTAGAGGACATCCGTCCGAGCGATTTCCTAGCCTCTATTGATCTCACAGAGGCATACCTGCACATCACAATCGCCCCGGAACACCGCAAATTCCTTAGATTTTTCTCACGAGGGCAACCACTTTCAATACAGGGCTCCCCTTTGGGCTGGCCTCAGCCCCCAGGACATTCACCAAGGTGTTAGCTGCAGCCGCAGGCCACCTGCGCTCCTTCCCTGCGTGTCGGATTGACTGGAGGTCTCCGGGGGGTGGTGGCGGCGCCTCAGTTGATCCAGGTGGCGCCGCCACTCACTGCCATCGGGTAGGTGGACCCTGTAGGAAACGGGGCCGGTTACAGTTGTGACGGTGGCAGGCACCCACCTAGGGTCCCCCGGGTAGTTGCGGGCCCAAACTAAATCCCCAACCGTAAAGGAACGGGAAGGGGGCCCAGGTTGCCAGGCTGAAGTCCTGAATAGAGGGGGTGTAGTCTATCCAGGGTGGTCCGCAGGCGCTGACCCATCAACAGCTCCGTGGGGCTTTGCCGCGTGAGTGGGCAAGAAGTGGAATGCTGGGCCAACAGGTAAGCATCCACCCTTGCCTGCCAGTCACCACGGTCGATGCGGCCCAAAGCCTCCTTGGCTGATCGGACCGCCCTTTCCGCCCGGCCATTGCTGGCGGGATGGTAAGGGGCGACTGGGGCATGGTGGATCCCTTGGGCGGCCAGGAAGGCCTGGAAGACTGTGGATGCAAATTGCAGGCCATTGTCGGACACCACTGTGTCCGGCAACTCGTGGGTAGCGAACAAGCATCGCAGAACCCGCACTGTACTCTCCGCCGTGGTGGAGCGCATGAGGACTAGCTCCACCCAGCGCGAGTGGGCATCCACAGCGACCAGGAAGACCTGGCTGTGGAAGGGAACCGCGAAGTCGAGGTGAAGGCGGGACCAGGGTCTGCGAGGCATCTCCCACTCCCGAGAGGAGGAGGAGGGGGGAGCGGGGCAGGACACCTGGCAAGGGTCGTACCTGCCGACCTAGGCCTCAATGTCATTGTCAAGGCAGGGCCACCATACGTAGCTCCGGGCCAGCGCCTTTATGCGCGTGACCCCGGGGTGATCGGCATGGAGCCGCTGGAGGACCCGGTGGCAGAGGGCAGAGGGGATGACCACTGGGTCGCCCCATAGGAGGCAACCGCTGTGGAGTGATAGCTCCAACTGACGGGTTTTAAAAGGGCGGCAGTCAGACGAGACGCCCCCTGTAGGCCACCCTCTAAAGACCCATGCCATGATTTGTGAGAGGACAGGGTCAGCTTGAGAGTGGGCGGCCATGTCAGAGGCTGTGAGGGGGAGGTCCAGCTCAGTGATGGAGAGGACGAGTGGCAAGGGACCGGCTGGGGGTCGGAGCAGGGAAGGGGGCAGCGGCTAAGGGCATCGGCATGCCCCAGTTGCTTGCCCGGACGGTTCGAGGTTCGAGGTTCATTTTATTTATATGCCGCCCTATTCCCTGAGGGACTCAGGGCGGCTCACAAACCCAAAGGGAGGGGGAAGGTAAACACAAGGAAACTACAACAGAAAAGGTACAGGGGAATTTAAAAAACAACCAACAGTCACACGATTTGAGAGGGGAACTCATCAACCCCAGGCCTGCTGACACAGCCAGGT